CCGGAGTTTGATAGGGTCTTTGAAGAGTAAAGTGTTTCTTTGATTGTCAGGTCGAAGTAGGCAGCTCCAAGGCTTGGCGACAGCAATGGTTACGTTATGGGAAAAGAGTATGCTTGCAAAAATTGCGATTAAACGTGGCGTACAGTTGACCACCAGTGAGAGAATGGCTGAAGAACTCAAGGTAATAAGGATTCCTCGGCTGATTAACTCGCTATTTTGTTGAAATACCTTTTGTGTATATATCCTTGCAGGAATATTGTTTTGGCATGTAATCCTTTTATGCAGGTTTATGTTTTGGATAGAAGTAAATTATCCTCGCTTTCTGGAAAAATGAAAAGAGAACTAAAGAAAATTTTGAATTGATCTAGTCGTGATATACAATGTCCATTTCTCTGATATTTCTTCTACTTTTATATTTAAGGATCTATTCTTCTGTGTAAACATTTTATGCTCTTTTTGTCTTTTATCTGAATGTGAAGCTGAATATTTGATAGCATGTTCTTGGTAAGTAACTGCAGAAATTGACAGGAGGCATTCTGCTCTCTAGGAACAAAGACTTCTTGGTTTTCTACAGAGGAAAGAACTTTTTGTCACGGGAAGTAGCCGAAGCATTGGTAGAGCAGGGAAGACTTGCAAGGACTTTGCAAGATGAAGAAGAACAGGCACGTTTAAGAGGATCATCGGCTCTGATTGTCCCAAGGGTTGAACCTACTAATAAACTTGTTTCTGCTGGTACTCTTGGTGAATCTCTTGATGCCGCTGGTAAGTGGGGGAAGAATCTGGATGATGATAATTATTCAGAGGAAGTGAAACAAGAAACTGAGAAGTTGAGGCATGAAAATCTTGTCAGGAAGCTGGAAAAAAAACTTACTTTTGTGAGTTCTTAACTTGGCCCTTGTTTCTTTGTTCTTTCCGTGTGAAGTGAGATTCAGATATCATGTGCTAAAGAGTTGTTCCTTGAATTAATCGGATTGTTAATTCGCTTTAGGCTGAGAGAAAGCTGTTGAAAGCTGAACGTGGTTTGGCTAAGGTGGAAGAGTTTCTAAAGCCAGCAGAGCAGAGGGCAGACCTAGAAAGCATAACTGATGAAGAGAGATTTATGTTCCGTAAGCTCGGTTTGAAGATGAAAGCTTTCTTACTTCTAGGTACATTATCAATAACGGATATGTGTAGTCGAGTAGGATCTATGAATGCTCGTACTCGTAAAAGAAACTTAAAAATGTTGCTTCAGGTAGGCGAGGAGTGTTTGATGGTACAGTGGAGAACATGCACTTGCACTGGAAATACCGAGAGCTGGTCAAAGTTATTGTGAAGGCTAAAACTTTTGACGGTGTAAAGAAAGTAGCATTAGCCCTTGAAGCCGAGAGCGGGGGTATCCTGGTTTCTATTGACAAGGTTTCCAAAGGGTATGCCATTATCGTCTATAGAGGAAACGACTACAAACGTCCTCCTATGTTGAGGCCGAAGAACCTTTTGACAAAGAGAAAGGCTCTAGCGCGTTCCATTGAGCTCCAAAGACGCGAGGTTTGTGCCGTATATTAATAATTTCTGTTCATTTTTGGAACTCATTAGCTGATCTGTTTTCCGTTTGCATTCAACAGGGTCTTATAAAACACATTTCGGCGATGCAGACAAAAGCAGTAAAGCTGAGAGCTGAAATTGTAACTCATTTACATTGGCTTTTGTCTAATTATATCTTATCATGCAATCATTGATCAAAGAAACGAATGCAGTTTGTTTGACAATGGTAGACTAACCCGAGACCCTGCAATCATTCTATCAGGAACAAATGGAGAAGGTAGTAGACAAGGGAGATGAAGAGTTATACAACAAGCTTGATGTAGCTTATGCTTCCAGCGATGAGGAGACAGAAGAAACTGATGTGCGTATTCGCCTAGAATCACTCTGTTTTTGTTTGGTTTTCAATCATCCCTAAATCATTTTCAAGGTCTAACATGGCTTGGTACTATTCCGGTTTGTAGGAAGAAGATGATGATGCGTTTCCAGATACATATGCAGTAGGAGAAGATGGTCAAGACCGTGAGATTCTGGCAGAAGTGGGTGAACCATCAGAAATAGATGATGTAGATTGGGATTCAGACGGATCGGAAACTGAATTTGGTGATGATTCTGTACCTTACACACAATCGTCGAATGAAATCAAAAGATGTACATCATAGGTACTGAAGAACAATGGAAACATCTCTATGGAAATAAAATTGAAAGCTAATTGCTACATAAATTGTTTATTTTAACCAAGGAATGTAATTTATGTTTCAAGTCTTCTTAATCATTACGATTCTTGAATTTGCTCCGTTTAGTTAGTTATAGTGTTAACTGTTTAGGATGAACGTCCTCTGGTTTGATTCTTTTTTTTTTTGGACAACACTTATGGTTTGATTCTTTAAATCATCTCTCTAGATGGAATCTATCTCTACGGAAATTAAATTGAAAGCTAATTGCTAAATAACTTCGTCCACAGAAATGGGTATAATATTGCAACAAAACGCTCAATAGTCTTAAAACTGTATTACAAGAACTATTTTCGACAGCACTTGGCTCAAAACTATTCTCTTCACTTTGCCTCCAATACTATCTATGCTCTTCTCTCAACGCAGTTATAAGAAGATAACACAATCTATGATGCATATAAAATATATCTGTCTTTCGGTGTTGGATAAAGAATCCTCAAGGGGAATCAGATAAGATTATGAATCTCTCAGGCAGAGAGACAAGGACAAAGATTTCACCTACGAGCAAGTCTCTGCCCAGCTCCAACCATTAACGCCTTGCCAATAGCACTTGAATGAAGCCCGCAAGCCAAAGCCACTCCTCCTACAACGATCCATTTCCAATCTACACTGAACTGCTCCTTTTGTCTTCTTGCGTTGTTCTCCATGGCTCGTCCTCTCTCTTCTTGCTCTACTCTCGATGTTTCCACCAAATCCATGTTCAGTTTTGTGGTGATTGCCGCCATTTGAGCACTCCGTGATAGAGCTGACCCTGGTTTTCTAGCGGTTCGGTATGCCCTTAAGCCGGAGTTAAGCTTTTTGACGGCTCCCCACATGCCATGGCGGACTCCTAACTTTGCTACGTCTTTTGGGATTCCCATGTCTTCGTAGTGGACAAGAGAGACTTCACAAGCTGATAACTGTCCATCCCCTTTTCGAGATTCAACTGCATTTTTTTTTTATATTCCGCTCAGAATCAGACATGCAAAATCTGGTAAAGGAAATTAGCAAGCCATCAAGCAATTTAAGATAACATACCCGCTTTGATAATCCAACTTGAGAAATAAAGCTCAACACGCCTCGGTTTATCACGCTTTGGTAGAGCTGGATACGGAACTCCCTACAAACATTGAATTCCAAAACAGCATATCAGACGCACATTCTGCTATTGTATACAACTAGTGATATTTTGAACCATGAGAAAGCAAAAGCAAGATATTATTATTACCTTTGTCACAGCATAATATTTCTTTCCAGATTCCCATATTCTCCTACCAATGATGTATTCCCGGTCACTACAGAAAAAGGGGAACTACAGAGGAAAGAAATTAGTAATGGCTTATTTACAATAGCTGGTTCATGAATGAGAGAATAGAAAATGGGACGGACCTATATATCAACATAAAAAAGAAAAGCACAAAACATACCTTTTTTATCCAATGAACAATCGTTGTTCCTGTCTGAGGATCTTCCTCCAAAGTTTTGAAATAAGCAAGCATAGGATCCCATTTAGGCCGAAATTCATCGTCCCAGAAGAAATCCCTAACAATCTCTGGAGTTGCATCCTCAAAAACAGTTCGACTACGATAAACAACAGGACCTGCCTGTCAAACAGCATAGCATTTCAGAAACCAAACCATAGTATCGTACAATCTTTTTCATGTACTGTTTGAGAAAACCCCTATTTGAATATTGAAACACAAGTCTCAGGTAAAATGTCTAATGCATAAGAAAAGTCGATGGAGCAACTTGACAAAGCAATACCCAAAAGGTACCTACCTACCTAAGCCATACAAAACCTAAGAATGGAGTAACTAATAATCAATAAGTTGGCTCATATTACTCCTAAATGTTACAAGAAACATTGATATAAAAGCTCATAGTACCTCAGGCTCATGTCGCCAAGCTTGGTAACTCATATTCGGAGTAGACTTATCCATCATAGATTGCCATTCCATATTTGCATTTCCAACTTCAAGCAAATGCAACAAATGCTCTAAATCCTTCTCTGTCACAATATCCAGCTTCTTCTCTCTACAATCCATAACCGCAACAACAACAAAAATCAATCCCACAAGAACCAAAACAGTATAATCCTTGAATAAACAAATCCCAGAAAGCAAGAACATATTCATTTCTTCATAGACTAACCTTGAAAAAGCTTCTGTTTCACCAATCGGAGGAATCTCATCGATCGGAGCTGAACCAGTACTAGTCGCCGATTTCTTGGTAGTCGTACCGAGCCTCGACCATAGAGTGCGACAAACTGAGAAAGCAGAGAGAGCGGTGAAAGCAAGCCAAAGACGACGAGCACCAAAACCAGGAGGAGCAGTCCAGAGAAACCGGAGCTTAGAACGGAACCCTAGATAAACCAATCCGGTCCACCTTGGACGCCAAGACCAACCAATCAAAAGCCCGATCATAACGGCTAGCCAAATCGGAACTGCACATAGCAAGATGTCGACCAATGTCTCTGTAACAGAGGTTCTCTGGAGGAAACCCATGAGATTATTATTAAGATAAGATTCATCCATCTGAAGATTTGATTTCCTGAGCGAGGAAGAGTTTTCAGATTTTAACAAGGAAAATGGATTCCTCTCTTGTTCACCGGAGAATCGAACGACATTGACGGAAGCGATTCCAAAGAGAATCAAAGAGGAGGAGGAAGAAGAAGAGTAATTTCCGCCTATTTCTTTTTTAAATTAATTTTT